ATGGCCTCGTACAATTTTAAATACCACTGAGCTAGCTAGATCTTCATACCTGCGCAAATCTCATAAATAAAGATTAATTGTTGTTCGCACAAAAGTGGCCAGAATTGAGAGTACTTATTCTTGACGTGTGATAATTAATACGTTCTTCAAGCTTTCTTCTGTGTTCTCTTTAACTTAAGGAGTGCTTGGGTTACTGAAGCTGATACTTTGCTCTAACTTGGTATCTTTAGCTCCCAATCCTTGAGTACACGCGTTCTGGTCGCTATCAGCTAAGCTGCTTGCACCTGAGGCTTCTTGCTTCTTCGAAGTGTTCTCTTTGTGATCTCTCTTGTTCTCAGCTCCTTGACCTGTCAAAAGAGTTAACATACCATTTTTTGCTCCATATAAAGCTTGTGTGGAGCTGAAGTTGTTTGGGACACTCATTTGGTCTTTCACAAGTATAGTTGAGTCTCTTGGTGTTATGAGTGATTGGGATATGGCCTCTGGATCACATGATTTTATGATGCTTTCCACTGCTAGGTTAAACTTCTCACGTAGGCACCTGATTTTAGATCGAGTCATTGGAGCTTCTTGGACCGTGGGAACTTCTAATTGATCTTGGTTTGATTCGATGTTCTCATGGATAAGTTAGATATTAGACCCCTTGATTAGAACCACAAACCCATGTTTAAAAAAAAATTAAGTCCATATAAAGAAAGGTTAATTAGGAAAATATTACTTTTGGGAGTAAAAATTAGGTAAGTAACATGTCCAAAAAAAATATATTTCCAAAAATATATTTAGCTAAGTAGCAGAGAGAAACAAAATATGATGAGATTGCCATTACAATCGTAATTAAGGTAAATATAAAAAGAAAAAAATCTCTAAAAATCTTCCATTAATTGTTGATGTTATGAATAAGAGAAAAGAGAGAAGGAATTGTGTTGTCTTATTTCATAAATAATACAGAGTTTATATAGGGTTACAAAGCTTGGGGAGGAAGTACAACTTGGAGAAGAGGTAAGTCTAGAAGGTTCTAGAA